ACAATACTGGTGTATGAACTGGGATTATTTAAAAATGAAACACAATCCACTCAGAACTTCAAGATGATGACAGTGATAGAAATGGGATTGAAAATCTAATGAAAATGATAAAACAATCGAAAGTTTATATATATAAAAAAATTGACAGAAATAGTAGTTAAAGAGAATTATAGATTGTTAGATAGCAACCTGGCCTACGAGAGTATTGCTAAGTTGCAATTTGGCACCTTACTGATTTGAAATTGGATAGTTCTGGTTTACACAAAACTCATGACACCCTGACTGATCCATAATGACATTCTCTCAGTATTTCATTGCTGAGTCTGATAATCAACCTATCCTTCCTTGGTTTATCTCTATACCTGCTAATGATCCTTTTCCTCGGTTGCCTCAAAAAATCTGTTATTCCTGACTGACAGTATAGACTTTTGTTTTTAACATCGTTCAAGCCAATCCTCTATTCCCATTTTCACTGGTAGCTCCAAGTTTGGGGACTATGTAAGTTCAGTCATGGTTTGCTATTGACTCTGTTATTGGTCACAAACTCCCCTCTATAGTTTTTGTGTTCACTGACGTGTTCTAGGCAATTTCACTTACTTTGGATCACCTCGAGCCTAAATAATATACCTCTGTACAATGTATTCTAACTTTCTTAGCCTATTGAAAGCCCTGGAATTATTTAATGTGTCTTCTCATTCAGTTTTATTGGACATTCATAAGTTACTGGCCTATTTTTCAACAACTCTATCCATCCGATTTATAGCTGGGAATGAGCTTGCTTACACAACAGATAAATCTGCTTCTATGGATATTGTTGAACCATTGCCCATTCCTTAAATGGACTTTCAGCCTACCATCAGGATGAAGCTTCACACTTGTTGGCAAGCAAAGTGGGATAAATACCAGTTGAATAAACTATTCCAGGTCAAGCTATCATCACCAACTGGCTTTCTATTTTGCAAATAGTTCATAGAGAGGATGTTTTTTGATGAGGCTTAGTTTATTAGCCAAAGCTTCCTCACCCATCAGTTTTTGCTACAGGGTTGTGATCTCTTAATGTAAGAAAAGTGTGACACTCAACTCACAATTGCTCATATTTTACTTTTCTGCCATCATTATAACCTTGAGCAGTAGCAGTAACTTAGACGTATTTTATCTCATGGTGTTTCTTTGACACTGAACTGTCTCATTGGAGACAATAGCACTATACTTCTTGATAATGTGTTTCATTTTGTATGAGCCATTGGCCTTTATAATTTTTTCATTTGATACAACAATGGCATTTGTTATTTCATCAACACCTTTTGATTAGTTAAGTAGAAAAATATTACCTTCTGTGCTAAGTCCAACCAATTTTACCCGTTTCTTTTGTTGTTGTCCTTTTATATACCATTTTTCTTTTTGGCTTGTTCTCATTTTGTCTTTTTTTGGTGGAGATAGCACAGGAAGTTTTGCACCAGTAACTCCAACAACAAAAACCCTCAGGAACATCACTAAATGTTTGGGGATTCATATTCACATAAGACAATGATTCCAAACATACAGCAAATGTGGGGAAATTAATCTTGATGGTAAAAATGGGCCAAAAGGACACTAACACATCTTTTGCACAAAGTTCTGGTTTAAACTCTCCTGGGCACGTATGGGCTTATGCAATATCTGCAAAGGTCAAAATACAACCAAGAAATTTTACTGAATTTTGGGATGTAATACAGGACATTTGGAACAATATTTCACAGTCGTACATTGATAAACTATGAAAATATAACTGATTATTTCAGAGATTCCCTCAAAACTATTTGTGCTAGCCATCTGCAATTTTAAACTGATTCTGTAGAGGGAATGCAGCTAGTCAACACATCCACCACCACTTCTGGTACTCTAATTGAAAGTTGAATCACTTTTATGGCACACCCACGGCTCTAAAGTGCAGATTGTAATTTTTGTTTTGTTTTTTTGGTAACGGGATGCAAATCATAGGCCCTTGGATCCACAGTCCAACACACTAATCACTAGGCCATATCCAACCCATGGGAGCATGAAAATAAGATGTAATGCTCTGTGTAAATCAAAGGACTTGCACACAAAATACTAGTGCAATATATAACTTATTTGCATATCTTTTGTACTCTCTGATAATGTTTTCTACCATTACTTGTTGCTTGCAACTCCTGTACATGTATCACTTGTGTGTTTCCATAATTATTTCTATTACTGTATATAAGTTTAATAATAGACAAAGAAATTGTCAGAAGCCTTCTATTTCCTTCAGCATTTAATACTTGTATCAACTCTACTACAACTTATTACAAAACTGAAACACATACAAAACAAAAGCCTCATGTACACCAGATATAACATAAGCACCAGGTGTTAGTTATATAATTACTTAAAGCCACGAATAATAGTTATTACAATCTGTAAATGTTGAATATTTCCCAAATATTAAGCCACAGCTGTTGTTGATGGAATTACATAATACACATAAAATACAAAGATTTCTACTATTCTTTATTATAATGTTTCTAATATTATATTTTATTAAGATTGATAACAACCATAAAAGGTTAAAACATCTCTCCAATAAGAAATTTTAAAGTCCTTGAACATAGATTGTCTAATTCATTTAAGAACCACAATTCCATTTGGCCATAAAAAATATTGATATTCATCAACTAAAAATAACATGTAGCAACATAATGTTGAATGAGTCAACATATGTTTTCTGGTATTCTTGTATTATTAAGCAAGAATTAAGCAATTACTTAAACTTATTATAATAAAATACAAATTACAATGAATTATGTCAACCAACTATAAAATATTTAACATTAAACATTCACAACTCCCTATATTTCTATCTGCATAAATAGATCATTTTAATTAATATGATCTAATTACTTCTCCAATATTTTTAATTGCAAATATTTTCTTCTAATTTCTCAATGCATTATTTGTATAATACATTGATAAAAACTTG